GAAGGCTGAGGTAGAAGGATTGCTGGAGACCAGCAAGTGAGGCTGTGGTGGCTGGAAGTGGCCTCTGCACTTCAGTCTGGGCGACAGAGTGAGACTCCAACTCAAAAAAAAAAAAGAAAAAGAAAAAATCCTACGTAATGGCTTGTATCACTAGGAAACTCTCCAGGAAGGATGGACTCAGGGTAGTAATAGGCACCTTCCTAAGAGGAGGATCACAACTGCCAAGGCCTCTTTAGAACATGTTTGTTTCTTTTTGTCTTCGCTTGCACCATCACCCACAGAGTGCCAGCCTCTGCGTAGGTGTGAGCACCAAAGGGGACCAAGACACATGGAAAGCTTGAAGAGCTTTCACTTAGTGCAGTGGGCTCCATCATGCATGGGTGAGAAGACAGTGGGGGGGCAACTGAAGACACTGCAGAACAGTCGGGCCTCCCCAGGTCACAGGCTGGGAGAGAGCCTCGGCACTGAGCAAGGGCGTGGCCCGAGCAAAGGTTTGCAGGTGACGTCGCTGGGGATTCGATGCTGTGTCGCAAGGGAAGGTGTCTTGGGCCTCCTGTGCTCCACAGAACCATTGGGGCTTAATCCCGGATGAATCTCTGTTCCGTACTCCAGGAAACAGAAGGCACAGGATGTAAACTAAAAGCTCAGACCTCCAGGGGACCACGGCAGCCAGATCAGATTTGGATTTGAGCACCAGCTCTGCCTGTACTCACATGAGACCTTGGGGTGTGGTTTGGGTCTGTACAACAGGGGGAGTCAGGCCCTGCCCTGTAGCCCCCCAGCTCAGCAGAGGGAGCTGAGTGGGAAAGACTGCAGTGGCCAGCAGGGGGCCCAGCGGTCACCGTGCAGGAGTGAGGCTCCCGTAGGGGTCCTGCCTCCCCCCCCTCCCAGGCCCTTCCCTCTGCTCAACCGTGCTGTCTGCCTGAAGGATGCTCGTCCCTTCGGGTCTTCCCAGGGCACTGTTTTGTTCCTGCCTGCTGTATCAGGTGATAAAACCCAGGTTCCTCTACATCCTACCGGGTCATCTGCATTTTAGCAGGGGGTTTTTGTAAAATGAAAAACATTCAAGGACCCCCGCAGAGTCTGCTGGTAGCACTTCTGATATGTGGAGGCCAAGGGAAGACATTTGGATAAGGGGTTCCCAGTGCTCTTCAAGCAGCTGCCCACACAGATGGCCCGTCCAGGATGCAATGATACATAGGCGGGTCATCTTGGATCCAGCAAGTCCAACTCGATTCCACAGCACGGGCCGAGCACCTGGCATGGC